AATGTATTGTGTAAATTGCCAATAACCATTTACAGTGATAGTACTTCTGCTAGACAGCTAGCTGATAACCAAGGAATACATACCCGCAGTAAACACATTATTGTCAGATATCAAAATGTGAGAGCAGCAGTGTGCAGGAAGTTTGTTGTATTGAGACAATGTAATTAGGTTGCACGGGATCTCTGTTTCCTACAGTTTTGTGGGTTTTTTGCCATGAAGTATAAATGGTTAGAAAAGTTTTAACCAAAGAAAAGTAGATAAAAGACTCTAAAATGTTTGTATACAAATGGTTATGTATATATGAAAACCAATAAAAATAATTTAAAAAGAGAGAGAGAGATAGGCATTCTAAAGGCAAGGTGCCACCACTGAAAAAAACCCTGTCTCTGGTCTCCTTCCACCTCACTTCCACCAGACAGGGATGTCAGTATATAAAACTATAACTGCAAGCTGTCAGTCTGCCAGGTGACAGTGAATGCTAGATCTAGATGATCTAAGTTGACAGCCAGTAGGTCACATGACATGGTGATTGCAGGGAGGTTGCATCAGCCTTTGCACGAAGCACCATGACTTGGCAAATATGTAAATAGCTGTTATGTGATTGGTTGTTGTAAATATAAATGTAGTGCTGAACAGTGCTGTTCATCTCTTCTATGGGATCAGTTGCCTGCGCAGCACCTTGTCAGAGAGTACCACGATTTTGGACTCAGAGAGACTGTAAATATACTCCAGTGTGTAAATAAACTGTAAATACTTTTACTACTCTGCTATATGGAGCGTTCTTCTATACTGTCAGTATGGTGGCCCGGGATTGATGCGGAGATCGAGACATGGGTCCGGGGGTGTAAAATATGCCAAGAAGTCCGCCCTAGCCCTCTGAGCGCCCCAACACAGCAGTGGGAGTCCACCCACAAACCGTGGTCCCAGCTTCATGTAGTTTTTGCCGGCCCATTCCAGGGGCTGTTGTTCTTAATAACGGTCGACTCATACTCCAAGTGGTTGGAAATCAGCCCCGTGTCCACCATGTCCTCCAAAGCCGTTATAAGGTCCCTCCGCCGGATCTTTTCCACACACAGGCTGCCGGACACGATCATGTCCTATAACTGGGCCGCATTTACATCGGCTGAGTTCCAGGACTTTCTCCAGAGGAATCTGATCAGACACATAAGATTGGTCCCCTTCCACCCTGCGACCAACGGCCAGGCAGAAAGGATGGTCAGGACGGCCAAGGACGCCCTTTGCAGAATAACTGACGGGGACTGGGAGTTATGGATTGCCCAATTCCTCCTAATGCAGAGCCCTGAACACAGTCTCTGGCCACAGCCCGGCAGAGCTTCTGATGGGCCACCACCCCGTGACCCTCCTGGACCGGCTTCACCCAGACTGCAAACCCAACTTCTGGAAACTAGTAGAGGACCGAAAAGCACCAAGAGGGTTCTTCCCAGGAGAGCCCATCTATTTTTAAAACTTCGAAACGGGCCCTCCCTGGGTAGCCAGCCGAATCATTAAACCCACTGGCCCAGTGTCGTATGAGGTTGCCGTGGAAGGGGACAGACTACTAAGGAAACATGTTGACCAACTACGGCAGCGATTAACCCCCAAAGCCGGGATGCCATCACAGATATCTAACGAACCAGAGACCCCCACCCAGAGAGAACCAAGCCAAGCTGCCGCTGACCCAGAGGTCCCGCCACCGCAGCAACAACTACAACAGCTACCCCAGACTCCTCAGCCCAAAAGAACCACCACAGACTCAGTGCCAGCCCCCAGGCGATCTCTCAGGGAGCGCCGGACCCCTACATATCTGAGGGACTACATTAGTAGTGACGGAACTATGGGGGGAGGGGTGTTATGTCTTCTGATACTGCCTGATGCCAGACAGAGGCAGCTAGAGCTTCAATCTCTGAGGCCACAGACCAGCCGGTCCTGGAGGGCATCCTCGAGGTCTGGGAAGTTGCAGTGGCGGGCGATATGGAGAAGCGGTGTGTCGAACGCTGAGATGGACTTGGTGGCAGTCCGGTTTCTTGAGTGGAATGCATGGCGGGCTGTGATGACTGACAGCTTAGGTGAGAAGTGCGCCTTCAGTCAGTCCTGGATGGTTTGATACTCCGTGTCCTTGAGCTCCGCTGGGGCAAGAAGCGAGCAAGCGATCTCGTAAGTCGTTTGGCCACAGACGTCGGAAAAAGTAGCATGCTTCATCTCGGCCTCCCTGATGCCAGAGGATTTCAGGCAGAACTCGAACCGGCCGAGGTAGGACTCCCAGTCCTCTGCGGAGACGTTGAACTTGTCGAAGTGTCCTGGAGCAGCCATGGTCTCTGGAGCAGTGTGATGCGCGGGGATTTGGGGCTCAGTGCATGGTGTGGTGCTGGCTGGAGCTGGCTCGCTCATCAGGATCCCATCCTCATCGTCAGTATAATATACTGAGTTCAAGACGTGTTTAGTGATCTGCTCATATTTATTTAGTTTTTTCGGTTAACTTAAAGACAAACTCTGCAGGGCTGAGCCCTGCTTATAGTGGTGCAAAACAACACCCCCCTACATACACACACTCCCCATGATTGGCTATGTACAGTGTAACCCTAAATCAATAGGTCCATCCCAGGATCCTGGCGGCCCATTGTTCAGGTACCTCATGCTCAGACTATTCCCGGTGCTGTCCTGGATCAATACATAACACCTTTCCTTACTCCCACCAAATGTTTTCAGAAAATGGGGGGGAGGCAGGTGAGACTTTTGGCCAACAGGGCTTCTGATTGGTCATCGGATTGGCTGTGCAGAATTTTTTAAAAAAATATATTTTATTTAATTATTAAAAAACAAAAAACAAAACAGACACAGACATCAAGTATACACCCCTCTCCCCATAAAGAAGAACAACCTACAGTGTACCCATAACAACAGTAAAAAAGAGAGAAAAGGAAAGAAAAAAATCTGAAAAGCAAGCATATTAAGGCATTGGTAGAGAGCTCAACATTCAGCTTAAATACAAAAAGAAAGAATTCTTTTCCCTTCTTTTTTCTTTTTCTATAAACATGAATAATTAATGTATAATTACAACATGATTAAAGTATATATAGAGAGGCTTATTTAACTTTATCCCGTAATCTGAAGGGCTTAAACATACTTTGGGTATTGTTATGAGTTGTGTATAAAATAAAATTGTGCCATATTTCAAAAAAGTCTACAGTTTTGGCTTTGGATTTGATTATTCTAATTTGACACAACACAACAAACCTTTATTGGCATAACAATTCTAATTTGATTTGTTAATTTTTCAGCTATTGCAATCTGCCATAACTCAGAATACCATGCGTGTAGTGTTAATAATTCCACGGCTTTCCAGCTTTTAGCAACTGTCCTGCACGCTGCCATTAGCATAAACACTATTAGATCTTTAGAAGTAACCTTTTCATTTTGTTTCTCCCAAATTGTTAGTAGGGCCAAAGCTGGTAGCTGTGCAGAATTTTTAAAAGTTGCTTCAAGAGAAGGTACCACTACAGCTCAAAGATCTTTACTGCATGACTTAAGGTAAGCTGCATGTATGCAATAAAATACTAAGCAATACATTCATTTTAAAACAGCTTTGGCCTGAAATGTTGAAGAGTTACTGAGTTAAACATAACCTCAATCCCTGACATTTTGTGGTTGGCTGCAGCTCCCGCAGCAACCATTTGGTGATTGTGCCCACCGTGTGTCAGAATTCCAAAGGAGCCTGCCAGTTCTAAAATGTTTGGGATCCTTCATTTAGACTCAGTAACGGGGGGTCTGCTGTGCACAAATCAGTTTGAATTTTGGCTTCAGCAATGGACGGAAACGTCTTCTAAGGAGCATTTTTCTAGGATTACTTTTAAAAGGTAAAGGTTCCCTTGCTCGAAAGCCAGTCGAATCCATCTCTAGGGTTGCGGTGCTCATCTCCGTTTCAAAGCCGAAGAGCCAGCACTGTCCGAAGACGTTTCCGTGGTCATGTGGCCGGCATGACTAAACACCAAGGCGCATGGAACGCTGTTACCTTCCCCCTGAAGTGGTACCTACGGTATTTATCTACTTGCAGTTTCTTGCTTTCGAACTGCTAGGTTGGCATTACTTTCAATAACAGGCCACATGTGTTGTCTTTGTTGTTTATTGGTTTAACTGCGGTTGTATATTTTACTGCATGTTTATCTAAACTGCTTAGAGCCTGTGACAGCTAACATTCCCAAATAAATGAATTCAGCCACTGCTTTAGACATTATAACCCTTTTAGGGGAAAAAATAATTGTAGTGCAGACAGAAAGCATACCTTTTTACTGTCATTCTCTGTGGGCGTCCGTAAATTGAGGTTAGCCTGAAACAAAATAAGTACATTATCAGGTCAGATAGAATAATGCATTATTTTAATTCATCCCTATTAATGACAGTTGAGTTGGGGCACATTTCTCACCTCTGTCTCTTGTTACTGTTTTTCGCAGTTACAATTATATCCACCAGAAAAATACAAAGGGTAAAATATTCATATTCCTTTGTTTACCTTTGTAATGCAGAAAAAATCATGTGAGTTATTAACTATTAATCCATTTAAATACTAGCTTGCTCTGAATGTTATACCCAGCTTCCAATTCTGAGCTTTCTATAATTATGGAAGATCAGCGTATACACAAGAGGCTTGTGCACAGTACTGGGTTTGCATGTAATTTCCATGGGCTGGCATTTGCACTTGTGAATGGCAAAATGAATTCAAGCATCCCCATCAGAGTCCCCCCCCCCCTTTTCAGGAACGCAGAATATCAGGACTGAGTCTTTGACTCAAACTATGTGTTCTACGAGGGGGAGGGGGTTGTGTTTTTTTTTAACCCAAAGCAGTCATACGGGCTGTAAGTTTAAGCTGAGGGAGTGTACCAGAGGAATGTCACTGACCCCATTCTCCTCTATTCCTTTTCCAACTCAAAACTGGGGGAACTGGAAGCCAGACTAATCCTATATCTTTCCCAGCAAATGAAAAAGCAGTTTGGGGAGAATGATTTTGAGATAGAAAAGGACTGGGGGAATCAATTTTTCCTTCTGTTAGCTCAGACACAACCCATATAGGTGGCTTTGGGCTTTAAAAAGGTATGGATGAAATAATCTCAAAACCACAGGTATCAAGTAGTTTTGATCCTTCATTTTGTATATTTTGCTCTTTGCACCCCACTTTATCTCCAGCTTGGCACAAAGGGGGAAGAAGCAAATAAACTAAACTAACATATGCCTTTTTAATTGCCCAGGCCTACCAAGATGCATTCTTCTCAAAGCTGTTTTCATGTCAATTTTCTGTGATGTGTGCTTCATTTTTCTTGGAACTGCTCCAGTGTTTTTTTCAATAAACAGTAACAACTATCACTTAAAGAAAACACTCAGCAAATACACAACAGGAGCCACTTGGGGTTCGTTTGTCCAGGTCTGCAAGTTTGCTCTTAATTTACATTTGCTGTGGGAAGCACGGCAAAATTATTGCCATACGTAACACCTCTCAGTTTATCCTTTAGAGAAATGGGGGCAAAAGCTAGCAGGCAGGGGTGTGCAATGGCAAAGCAGAGGCTTTGAAGAAAACAAAGAGGTGCTTCACATGAATTATATTACCTGGAGAAAGCCAATTGGCTGCTCCAAGATCTTGACCACTCACTGAGATAGAACTTTATTAGGATATGCAACACAGGACACGTCCATTTCAGTTGGGTTACAGAAAGTGATCATTCAGAGAGGCCCTGCTTCTGCCCACTACAACTCTGTCCTAAATATTGTTTTACAGTTTGACCATTGCAGAAGAGTAGAGAGAATGAGCTCTTCTATTCTGTCTTCACATGATTACAGGCCTGCAGAGCACAGCTCATCAACTATCTTGCTAGCTACCTAGTGCCATTGACTAAGCAATATAGATGAAAAATAAACTGGAGACTTTTATTACTTTCTCCTTGAGTGGTTAAGACGCTGAACTGCAGGCTGTGGAAGGTCGGTAGTTCAACAGTTCGAGACCTGAGTGTGCCGCATGACGGAGTGAGCTCCCGTCTCTAGTTACAGCTCCTGCCAACCTAGCAGTTCGAAAGCAAGTAATTGCAAGTAGATAAATAGGTACCACTTCAGTGGGAAGGTAACAGCATTCCGTGCGCTTTGGTGTTTAGTCATGCCGGCCACATGACCACGGAAATGTCTTCGGACAGTGCTGGCTCTTCGGCTTTGAAACGGAGATGAGCACCGCAACCCTAGAGTAGGATTCGACTGGCTTTTGAGCAAGGGGACCTTTACCTTTACCTTGAACAAATACTGTTTGAAATAGGCCCTCAGAAAGGTCAAGACAACAACTTTTGTGACCAAACAGACAGACAAGGGGGGATGGGTCACGTTCAGGTTTTTGCTTTTATTAAACAAAGGAGAATGTTAGCTGATTTTTTGCTTTTATTCACTGAACAATAACATTAACCACCTTAAATGTTTAAATCTTGAAGCAAAGAACTTTACCCAGAGAATTTATGTTGCTGCTCTCTCCCTCCACCATAAGCAGTTGCACTCATTTCCATTCCTCTGCACCTCATCAGCATGGCATAAACAAAACTAACTGTGGCCCCAGGGTATGCCTGGGAGGCTTGAGATACAGCAGCAGCCTTACTGAAGCTAAGCACAGCTGGGCCTCATCAGTACCTGGATAGGAGACCCTCCGGGGAATCTTATGGAAGCCACACTGCATTACATGGTGAAAGACGGGGGTGGGGGATATACAGATAATAAATAAAATAAAATAAAATAAAATAAAACTATGACATGGCAGGAGAAATTAATAGTGGGGAAACTGCATCTTCTGGGGATTTTAAATCTCTCTTTACTGATACATGGTCTTGAATGTCCAAATCCTGTTGTCAGTAATATATATCTAGATATACCCAGTTATCCATGAAAATCACATATTCCTTTAAATCCATCTTTTAAAAACTATTATCTGCAAGCTTTATCATGCATCTGAACATTGCTCACGCATTCAGAACAGACGAGATGGGGACCCGCGATACTCGCGGGGGGGGAAGAGCTCCGTCTCCTCCATCCCCGGGGGGGGGGGGAGAAGAGCTCCGTCTCATCCATCCCCCCCGCTCGATGTCCCGAGGAGGCGGCGGCGGCGGCGAGGCCAGTCCTCCCCCCGCCCGCCTGGCCCCGAGGAGACAGCGGCGGCGCAGCAGCGGCACGGTCACTTGCACTTTCGGGGGGGTTTAAACATCCCCCCGAAATTTTTTTCTACTTTTAGCATTTTTGTGCACACGTGGGGACTGGCCCACGTGTGCACAAACCTCCCCCCCCAAGTGCCCCCGGAGCGCTGATTTAGCGATCCGCACTCCGGGGGCAACTTGGCTATTAGATATATAGATGCTTATAACATTTCCCAAAGCAACACATCCAGTCTGGTCTTTCCTCATCTTTGCTAACTGTATTGTTTCTATGCTTTTGGGTAGAACAGGAGACAAGGCTCTGAAGCAGGAGTTAACATAAGAACATAAGAGAAGCCATGTTGGATCAGGCCAGTGGCCCATCCAGTCCAACACTCTGTGACACACAGTGGCCAAAGCCCAGGTGCTATCAGGAGGACCACTAAGTGGGGCCAGAACTCCAGAAGCTCTCCCACTCTTGCCCCACCCAGCACCAAGAATACAGAGCATCACTGCCCCCTAAATTCTATGACCTTGGGAATAATTATACTACTGCCATTTATAATCAGAAATTAATGGGAATGTGAAAAGAGCACTGCAGCAGGTTGAGCCAGGTGGCCCCTCTGGTGGCATGCCTGCACCTATGTTGTCACCAAGGCCTGGCCAACACTGCAGGGGACACTTGGGGCAGATTGCTACTGGCCATCTGAGGCCATCCAGGTTAGTGGAAACTGGGGATTTTTGTGCAAATTAAAGGGGTAATTGGCGCTATTTATAATATGAGGTTTTGAAGAACAGTTTCCTGTTAAGGTGGAGAATTCTAACTTGTCACCTGTTCTTGGCATCTATGGCTGTCAGCTATGCTGCCATGGGGGTGGGGAGGTTCGTTCTCTTCTAATTGCCTTTGCATTCCTTATGTGCCTTTTTGCTGCTACGATGGTTATCTCTAAGTATTGCAGGTGGTGATGTTGATGTCTGGTTTTCTTGGGAACCGTTTCGTTCCCAGCTTCAGTGCTAAACAGCCGAAGCGCTATCTCCTGCACGTGGGAGGATGACTAATTGGCCAGGGCAGTGGGTGTGTGTGCATACGAATTCCCTTTATCCTATTGTGCCCCATGGGCAGCCATCATTCTTAACAGTGCCTGTGTTAATGCATCTATAGCTCTTCAATAAAGTATTACCTTTCATGAAAGCGTGTACTACGTTGTTGGCTGTGGGTTCTGACAATGGCTCAGTCTCACACATGAATTTGTATATATCTAGTAAAAAAAACCCATCTACATTTGATGATGCCAAATACAGACATCTTCTCTCTGAAGGACTATGTCAGGAATTCTCATTGGAGCTGGGCTGAGTGATGAGCTTTAATGTTTCCATTACAAATGCCCTCAAGCCATTTATCTTCATCCCCTAGAGGCGTCATCCTGTCATCCTGTTTGGGTAGATATAAGTGCTGGTGCCACTACAACAGGTAATGTGATTTCTATGCATGATATTCTTCTTGCCAAAAAACTAGAGTTGACATGATCAGTGTTTACTTTTTAGAAAAAAGAGGCATGGGGTTCAAATCTGTCTGGAAACACCAGCCTTGTATGGGAAAGTTCTTTCCAGTAACCTCTGATATGTTAGGTGTCTCTCCTGTCACTCAATGATAGAAATACAGTCCGCACCTGCTCAGAAGCTCTTTATTCTATTCCTGTGTCACATGATTAAGCTCTTGCACTGAAAATAGATTAAGCCCGGACTATGATAATACTTACAAATCTTGTTTCTCGTCCCGCTGGTCTCTGTAAAGCTGTAGATGTCTGTAAGCAAAGATTAATCAAAAGAATAAAATAGTGGCAGCAAGTATCAGGCATGTTTTACCATTCTATTGATTTTTTTTTTGCCAGTCACTGTTCTTTCATTATTAATTGAGCAATATAGTTACTATGCATATTTATTTAATCAACAGTTTTAAATGTGTTCAAAAGATGTTAAACCATAGTGCTCAGATGTCAAAAGTAAATTGTGATTTGTTCCTGATATTTGTGACGGACTGTTGAGGATTAACATCTAACAGAGTCTGAGAATCTTTTGAGTGACAGATTCTGTTACCAAAAGTTTTGTATTAATTTGGGTTCCAGATTTCAAATAGGACATTGTTTTTATTATCCTGACCCAAAATTTTAGGTATAATTATGGCTTGGATACGTCTGAATGCACCCCCTACTAAAGACTTAGTGGTTTAGCAATGCCATCCAAAGCAGGAGTACTCAGACTCCTACTCAGGTCTATTCAATGGGGCTTACTCCCAGGAAAATTCACTTAGGGTTGCACAGTAAGAAGCCTTCATTTTTTAAAAGTGCCACAATCCAGACATAACAACAAACTAAGGTTTAACTGAACTTCCTATAAGTTTCCTTGTTTATATTTCTCAACCAGGAAGTCCTCAATCTCAGCACAGCCTTTTTGGGGCAGAAGGAGGAAACGTGACTATAAGGATTTCAGGCTAATCTGTCTGATAAATATATTGTGGTTTGCTTATGATATCGGAATGCAGCCAGTATATATATTTTAAAAGACAATTGGGACCCATTGATGATCAGAAGCAATGGAGCATATACCAACCACAGATAGAAATAGATTTTTGTTTCATTTGGTAACTAAGGCCATATAAAGGTTACACCACACAAGTTCCCCACACAGCAATCACATGGCTCTTCTCCTCCCTGCTATGGAGTTTCTAATGCACCAGAACCAATATTGCAAGAAAGTGGCAGGACTTTCAACATTCAGCCTGGCTTTTCCCAGTTGACCTTCCTTCCCTTTTACTTCTCTTTCCTCCCTCATGTAGCTCTTCTGTAACTCACACACACACACACACACACACACACACAAAACCTTTATTGGCATGAAAGCACAAAACATCATGGAAATACGGTAACATACTAAGAAGCATCAGTCACTTACACTTGGCTATTCAAGCCTCGTCTTCTGATTGCATAATATAAAAATTTTGCAACAGCCTCCATTATTTCGCAATTAGAAGGAAACAGAAGAAAGTGAACAATTGAGTCATCTGAATGCCAGCTCTTACCCTCTAGAAGTGGAGTAATAAAACAAGATCGGATATCCCTATAAAGGGGGCAATGAAGTATGGTGTGTGTAGTGGATTCTATATCTTTTAGAGAGCAAGGGCAAAGTCTGTCTAGATATGGTATCTGGTGGTACCTCCCTAAAAGCGCCTCTGATGGCAGAACATTGCTCTGCGATCATGTGGGGCTGTTAAACTTGACAGATACTTTGCAGTAGAGTCTTCTGTAACTCTAGTTGCAAAGATGTGGGAAGGGGTCTGTTTCAGTTTTTGGGACCAACTAAATTGAGGACCTTTATGAAGAACAGTCTCATACTTGTTTTTCTATCCAATAAAGCTATCGATCCCTATGCCCTATGTAATATGCACCCTGATAGAGATTGTAAAAGTGACTGTCTTACCTTGCCTGCATCTAAAGCCAACAGGTTCTGCAAGGACCTTGGGGAAGAATCATGTTGATGCTGGGGGAAAAATGAGTTGCAAATAATAGCTACTGAAGTACAGAAACCAAAAAGGTAAAAGGAAGGATGTAAATCGAGGCTTTAGATATTGAAGTACCGTAGCCAGTGGGTCCTGTAAGACTTCATCAATTGCAGCACACAGCTCTTCAGTTTGTTGTCTCAGCTGGGCAGGGGAACAGATCTAAGAAGTTGGTTTCAGAGACATCATTAGCTCCATGCATCTCCATTCCAAACTCAAAATGCATTTGTATCACTCTGTCGTATGATCTGCTGCTTTAATTACTAAAATCGGCTTGTGTTACATAAATACTGTGTCTTGACTACCCATTCTCTTCTCAGTCCTTTCCCCACTTGGTTTTAACACTTCCTTCAACAGGTACAAAGGGTAACATTTTTGTAAGTCACCAGATGTAAACCCCTCTCTGGTGTTGGCAGTCTTGAGAAGTCAGAAGGATTTTTCATCCTTCCTTGATTCTTAGCTCCTTTCCTCATTTTCTGTCGCTTCATCCTTTCATCTCTCTATGCCTATTTTTCTCAGGGTTGCATGCAGCCTGCCCATTTGTCATGCAAAGTTCTCTCTATAAGGGAGGGGCCAATGTTCAGGGACATTCTACCTGTGTTGTATGTAGAAACACCCAGTATTCAATCTCTGGTCTCTCCGGTTCCAAAAGATGTCAGAAGGATGGGAATGACATTTCTCTGCCCAAGACCCCAGACATCTGCTACCAGTCAGAATGACCAGTACTGAGCTAGGCAGACCAATGGTCTGATTTGGTAGAAGGCAGCTTCACATATGCAGATATTCCCCCTAAATCCCCAATCTTGACTGCAATGGTAGCAAGATGCTTTCCCCCAGTTTCTTTAGTTTTTTTAAAGGTGCTTAGAATGAATACCAATCTGCCTACAACAGTTGGAGACAGCATATGTCTTGTGGGACCCCCAGTTATGTGAAAACACAAGGCATTTAATTAGTGACGAACAATTCTGATAAAAGAAACAATATTACAAATGGAGATATGAGAAGAAATCAGTGCATTTCGTAGGGATAGTCTGAATAGAGTAAGTTAAAGATGGAGAGTCACCTCTGAATGTGTGTCCAAAGTGCTTTCTTCACCTTCTGGTTCATTAAGTGCCTAGAGGTAAATTGAAATTAAGACAAGATTGAGAAAAAAATTAAAATATTAAAGTACTGATACAATTTGCTATTTTACTTATTAATTTATTCCCATCATTACTATCCCATCCATTCATCAAACAACTCCATGTGCCCAACATGTGAGGCACAAAATAAAAGTTAAACAGCCAACAAAACCAGCATCATCATATTAGGGGGGCACACATACGGTGCTGTAGTTTGACCAACCTCCTGAATTATTCCTGTTGATTTCTAGCCCGCCTTACTATCTACTTTAAATACAGGCCACACATTTAGAGCCAGAATCTTAAGAAAAACAAGAAATCAGTCAGATTGGAGCATTATTGACTTTTGTTTGTTTTGTCAGCAATCAACAAGTGGTAAAGCTTGGCATTCAAACTGACAATCTCACTTCCTGTCACATGCTGATTGCTTCCAGGTTCTTGCTAGGCAACGGTTTGCAGTTATGGACCACAGAGAAGAGGACAGAGTCTTCAGGGATCCCGCAAAGTCTGTCTCAGATGCTGCTTTACTCAGCTTAATACTGGAGAGACAAATAAGTTCCACTTGCTAAGGTCTCCTTATTATCAGGTCTGCCTTGACCTGCATGGCACAGGCTTGCCCAATCTTGGAAGCTAAGTAGGGTCAGCCCTGGTTAGTATTTGTATAGGAGACCCCCAAGGAAGCCCAGGATAACTATGCAGAGGCAGGCAATAGCAACCCCCCACTGAATGTCTCTTGCCCTGAAAACCCTACAGGGTCACCCTTAGTCAGTTACCACTTGACGACACTTTCCACCGCCAAGACTCAAGTTTGATGTTGTCTTTATGTTTTAAATTTCATTTTATTTTGCCATATCAAGAAGACTCAAAACAGCAAGGAGTTGGTGAAGCCATCCAAGCAAATTTGTGTATATATTTAAGTTTAACCCCAATATTTTGTAAAAAGAGCACTTAACATCTACTTTTCTAAAAAGCCTGTTCAGTGTACCTTAACTGCTACAAAGCTGAACTGGACAACCACATTCGGAGCCTGCTATAACATCACAGAGGATTTGTGTTCTATTAAGTTAATGTTTATGCCCATTAATACACAACCAGTCTTCTGTCTCCTACTGAGAGTAGTTCCCTATCAGCAGCTCCTGATAAGCAGCACTGCTGGACAAAAGCCTTTCAAGGCAGCAGACTGTGTACAGAAAGTACAAAACAGCAAGACAGCACATTATCTCTTCGGAATAATTCTAACACCTTATACAGTTGTTCGGCCTGAACTGGAAAGAATCGGTATTTTAAATCTTCACAGTTAACCAAACTTTCTTTCTGCACAAGCACTGTATTTGCTATTTTCACTGGGTACAATAAATTCACTTTTACTCTTCCTTTGCTCACTGTAGGATGTTTTTCATGCTTTGTCAAAAGAGACCCAGGCAGTACTGCAACAAAAGCAGCTGAAAGACTATATAACAATATACAAAGAGGTGACCCATCATTGAAAAGGGCCAAGTGGGGGTTATTCTATTAAAATATAATTACTTGTGACCAGATGAAGTAGGTTTATTTCAGTGAATTGAGATAATCTACTGTAGAACACAATGAGTATATAGCCACAGCAATTTCTAGGTCATTTGAAATTAATTCCTTGGCATGCCTGCAAAATCATCCTTTGAAAAATTCCTTTTTGGGGGGAGGGGGAGATAAATCTGTGCTGAACCATTTAATGTGAACATTGCAGAGCTTTGCCCTGAATAGCACAGTCATGTTAGAATGCCAGGATGCCTGCTGTTTGATACAGCCAGGTCTGCTGAGATGGGAAGTGGACTTGGATGAGAAAATTCTGGGGGCCATGTGATTTATTTTCATATTATGTATGGGCTCGGCCTGAGTGGTGCGAGGAAGGACCAAAGAGAATCTTTGATTGGAGCACTTGGTAGCCCTATCTAGTCCTGGACCCACTGAGGCAAATATTGCATATTTACCTACATATTGGCATGGATGCTACCACACCACTGAGCAAATCCTGAAGCCTTCCTTCAGCCTACCTAGATTTTATCCAGTTAAAGTAGGTCTTCCTCCAGTGGAAGAGCCACGTAAATTGCAGGAAGCCTCCTTGAAAATAAAGTCCCTCCAGCTTTCAGTTTTGGGTAAGATATGTGCCATATGAGGTCCCAAGCAACAAAACTAAGAAACATGGTTTTTACATGGCATTCATCTTGGTAAGCCACAAGTTGTATAGGTCTGAGACAGTGCTTAACCTGAAACCGAAAGTTTCAGAAGTATTTTTGTTTTTTAAAAAACCCAGACTATTCTTAATTATGAAGTAAACAGGAATAAACTGTGAAACATGCAAACGTTTGAAGAAAGACAGACCTTCTGCTCCAGAAGCAATGTGTTAGTTGGGATTGCTGCAAAGACCTTGTAGCTTGCCTTGATCTTGTGCGGCTACAAATCAGAAGCCAAAAAGAGACAAATTAATGTGGCAAAATAGGCCCCATGGGTCTAAAATATTACCTTCTTCCTTCTTTCCTGTTGTCCAAGTCTCCAATCAGCCAGCTGGCTAGCTGGCTGACTGGGGTAGAAAGTCTGTCTAAGACGTTTTCTGTTCCAAGTTTTTTGCCACTGCCACTGGCCTGCAATTGGACGCGGAACATGATTCCCCTTCCCCAAAAAAGGTAGGAGGCAGAGGCAGCAAGAGACTTGGAGGTGGAAGTACTCAGGACAGGCTTTTTACTTCATGGCTGTCTCACTTCTCCACACATCACGGAGCTGATCAGGAGTGAATGGTTCACCTCCACCTCCTCCTACTCCTCCTTTGGTGTGCTCCTGCTGCTTCCCCCTCCCCTCCCACCCACTGTCACCACTTCTCTCACTCTCCAAGAAATGCAACTTTCTCCCAATGCCTCTTTCCTTCTCCAAGCTGCCACTGTTTTTCTGGGTTTTTCTGCAGTCTTAGTAACTGTCCTAGATTGGAGAAAAATCCCCTCTCTATGTACAGTCCAGTTGTTTGGATTTTTTGATCCTTACTCTGGGGCCAAGTTCAGAATTAGATATATAAATATGGTCATACTTTTCACATGTTACAAACAAATAGCAATATTTATGTATATGTGAAAATATACAAAGTATATGTGTATGTGAAAATGTACAAATAACAACATTAATGTAATTAGAGTCCACGTGGAGCTCATTTCAAGCTTGGATAAGACCATGCAGCCCTCTTGCACAATTTTTTTTCTTTTGGTCTACACAGGTGATAGGGTCAACTGACTAAAAGTGAAGGCCAGTCAGGTTAGGTATGAGTTCCACTTAGTGCTTCCTTGGCACTAGTTCTGATCTGGCACTGATAGTTTGGTAGTACAAATGTAATGAAGAGCAGAGGAAAAGTGATAAAGAAAAACATGTTTTGCTCTCTTTTTTCCTAGTTTGTAACCGCAACTGCTTTCCCCTCCTATTTCTATGTACTTGTCAATAAAATGAATGGAATTGAATAGATCAGACTGCAAGCAGCCTTTGGTCTAGATAGTTTTGACTCTGTGCTTTTCTCTGTACAGGTGCAATTCAAACTGCCAATGTTAAAGACTAGACATTGCTTCTTTTCTAGGTATTTTTACAAGCAGAAAACAAAGGACAGTACTAAAATACAAATTTAGCGTGGGGGGGGGGTTTACATTCATTTCCTTGCTTCCCACTCTTTTCCTCCAGTTCTTGTCCTTAGCATTCTATTATCTGTAGTTATCAGAGTCAGAGTGCAGAAATTCTCAAAATACAAACCTCAGACTTTAAGAAGAAATAAATGGCAGCAATAAAGATTCACAAGCTACTGATTAGTCTAAGGTGCTCCTGGACTTCTCCTCATTTATGCTGCCACAGGCTAACATGGCTGCCTCTCTAGATTACTGTGTACTGACAAGCTTGGATCTTACGACTGATTCTGTATGCACAATGTGAGACTGCTTTGTGCAGCATTGCACACTTGCACCATCAAATGGATGATAAATGCTGTTATGCAAGAGGCATGCTGGTGAGTGAAGGCGGGCTAATTTAAAGGCAGCACTGGCTGAGCCAAAAGAACCCACCCATGCAATGTTGCACCTGCACAACCTCTCATGATTGTACAAAGCAGATATGCATGCTTAGTTAGCATCCCATGTAAAACATTTTGGGGTGGTGGTGGTGGTGATACTGAAATTCCCATATTCCTTCAAAAGTCTCCCATAATGAGAACATATTTCCACTTATTGCAAGAGTCAATGTGTTAAAAAGACAGGTGAGGAAATGTGCACATTTGAAGCTACTTGTTTGTATCCCCTCTAGCAATTTTGGCCATTCCTCCCCATGTTCAGAACCAGAAACCCTCTGAATGCCAGTGTTGGGAAGCAACTATCAGGGAGGGGGGACTTCATGCTCTGTCTGTAGGCTTCCCAGGAACAACTGTTTGGCCACTTTGTGAAACAGGATGCTGAACTAGATGGACCACTGGACAAATTCAGGAGAGCTACTCTTATATTTTCAGTGCTGAAAACACAGCAGCACAGTAAACAAGGTAAAAGATGAGAGTACAAAACAGAACCAATAGATTTCCCCCCAAAATGCAATGTTCAAACTCATTTATAAACAAGTCCATTAAGGCGGTAATATTAAGATTTGAAATTACCTAGGATACTTCTTGAAGGAAGGAGGCAATTCACATGGGACTCACAGTGCAGCAGCATGCCTGACACACACATGACACATCAGTACTGATCATCTTAATGGTTATCCTTGCTTGGACAAATAGTAAATCAAGGCTGTTAGTTCCAAAGGTGGACTGATATAAATATAACTTGCAGTTTGGTACCATTTAAAACAGACATGTCAAACATACAGCCCAGCGGGTATAACTGGCCCATCCTGGGCTCTTATCTGACCCGCCAGCACCCGGAGGGGAACCAGTCGGAATGTGGACTGGAAAGGCCTATATTAAGGTACTATGCCTCCTGTTGAGGTCCCTCCCTTCCTCAAACATGGGCCCTCCCTGGGGTTTTACCCCAGATCTCCAGGAATTGCTCAACCTGGAGTTGACAACCATAAGGGATAAGGAGAGCTGGTTTGACCTTGAGCTTTCTGCAGCCAGCCCCCTTGGGGCCTGCCTGCTGCCCTCGGCCAATGTGCCAGGCCAGGCCATGCTGCTTGTGGCTGCCTCCTCCTCCTCCTACAGCCAGAGTGCATTGGGCTCCTGCATCTGCTGCCCTAGGCTGCTGGACAGATGGCTGGCTGTTCATGTGTGGCAGGCAGAATCTCTTTGGTCCCACCTCCCCAAGCCTAACCAAGTGGCTTCCCACTTGCAGGCAGCCCAGGGAAGGCACCTGGGGGCACAGGTGCCTGTGGAAAACTGTAAGCGTATAAATGGAATGACTGGCCAGGTGGGGTACACACTGTGCAGCAGCCCAGGTGAGAGAAAAAAGGCCAGTGCTTATGTAAGGGGCGCAGTGTGTGCAGAACGCTACGGGTCAGGGGCAGAGGAGGGTGAACTGGAGCCTGCTAACCTGCTGACCCAAATGTGTGTGGCTTATCTCCTGCCTCCCTCCCTCAGCAGAGTGGGGAGGATTAAATAAGAGGAAAAGGTGAAATGTACACTCCCCAGGCTCCCAGCATGCAAGTGCTTATTATGTAACTGTCTGAATGGAAGTGAGGGATGGGGGGTTAGGTAAAAGTCAGGGACAGGAGCAGCCATTCAGAAAAGTGCACTGGGTTTGCCCATGACAGAGGCAGGTGCTGGATGTGTGTCTGTGGGCTTGCACATGGGGAGTAATATTTTGGGTGGTTGGATAATGCTGTGGAACTGGCAGGAAATAAAAGTCTGCAAAAGGTAATTAAAGTGGAGCTGGCATCTTGGGAGAATGGCAGAGCTTGAAGATTGCTTGTGGTACTGGTGAGTATCTCAGTTCCCCTTATTCACACTTGTTGCTGGACTTTAACAGAGTGAAGGGTGGGATTGTGCAGCTGCCTCACCCCCCTCCCACCTCCACCCACCCCAAAGCCTGTTGATCATAGCAGTTTCTTTAAGGCAGGGCTTATTGGGTTCCCCTAGTTGATGCCACTTGGCTACCTGTCTTTGTCTGCCACACCTGCAGCAATGGAATGCAGCCCTTCATGCTCCAGCTCATCAAAAGTTTCTGAAATGTGTTAGTCTTTAAAGAGACATGAGAGTCTTTGGTTGTTGCCCCTTGATAGTCAGACAAGAGCTCTCTGTGCTGTGCAAACTTTCTTGTGCATATCTAGCAAAGGGTGGTTAGTTAGGTGCTGAGGAGGGCTGTGGGACATAGTCAGTGGGGAAATATCTCCAGTATCTGGCATTACATTTTATGGCACCCATGGCCCGGCCTCACAAAGTGACATTTATGTCAGATCTGGCCCTTGTTACAAACAAGTTTGACATGTCTGATTTAAAACCTATTTAGCATTACCGAAATAAATCAGCTGGGGGGAGGGCTGCCCTCTGAACAATTTCATAATCGGAACTATATGGTATGTGTCATGTGAGCTGGGTCAGGGGACCTCAAACCAGACTTGCAGTCACACATATGATTGGGGAGCTCACCTTCAAAGTGCTCAGGTGCTCAATGCAGTCTGGGAACACTGTGCAGGGAAAGGAGGAGCTTCAGAATTCCCTCCCATGCCATTTTACCCAAGTGGGAACAGCTGTGGGAGGGCCTGCTTATGTGACTGAGTACACATGGAGACTGCAAGAGCACCCCTGCCCCCTACAGAGTGTTCCCAAGCTGCATCAAGCAAGAGAGCCCTTTGGAAGGTGAGCTGCCCTATCTTATATGTTGGAGGGGGGATCCCCAAGCCAACTCACGTCACATCTATTGTGTAGTTCAGTCATGAAGTTGAATATCAGTTTACCCTATTAAACTGGGACGTCAAGAAAAGTCTTATGATCATTTACCCCCAAGAAACCATTTTGATAATGCATGTGTATAAACTGACAGATTCACATACTTCTCTAAACAGAATAATGTGGTCTAGATATATGGAGGGGCTGTGACTCAGTGGTTGAGCTTGGCATGGAGAGGGTACCAGGTTCAACCACTGGCATCTCCAGTGAAAAGGATCAGAAAGTCAGTGATGTGAAAGACCTCAGCCTGAGATCCTGGAGAGCTGTTGCTAGCCTAAGTACTGACCTTGGTGGACCAATGGTCCCATTCATTATAAAGCAGCTTTTTGTGTCATGAGTTCAGTCCTTAGTGATGTAAATATTAGATCTACTAAGTGGGGAAATTGGTATCAAATGTCCAGATGGTCCATATAGATTTGGTGCTGAAACTGATGATAACTCCAGGCCAGAATTATATCAGCCCAAGAGATTTTATAGATTTGTAGAAGATAATGCCAAGTTTAAAATCAAAATATATCCAGCAGCACTCAGATCTTTCATGGTGCATACAATCCTTTCGCTAACAACCAATGAAAGCAATGAACAAGCAAAAGCAGTTTTAAAGTTTTAATTTAACACTCTGTCATGTTATCTTGAAACTGGTGTGCCAACGAGTCCCTTGAGTGTAGCTGTCACTGCCACTCCCTCCATGTCCTTCTTTTATTTCTAGGTTGGCAACTGGGACCATTCCTCAAGGGACTGGATTTTCAGTTTCTGGATATCTAGATTCTAATCCATGTGTTACAGTGACCTGGAAGATTTAGATCTGGGCAGGGGCTGTGACGTAGTGGTAGAGCAGGTGCTCTTGGAACATAAAGTCACTGGTTCAATCGTGGCATCTCCATTCAATGGATCTCAGGTTGTAGATGTTGAGAAAGACCTTTCTATACCCAAGAACCTTGGACAGCCACTGCAAGGCGACACATATGGATCAATGGTATGAGTCAGTATAAGAAAGTTTAATGCATACATATATGGCTGCTGGAGAGAGCTGAGTACAGCACATAATATACATTATGAAAGTGAGAATCTCTCCCGTCCTTATATATGCAGAACCTATTCAAATATGTGCAAATTGTTTTTCATCATGCCCAGTTCCACATTCCTTAAACAATAGGAAAGACTCGGCATGAACAGCAAACATTATCAGTAATCTTTACTAGAATGTGTTTTTGGGGGGAGTGCTTTTACATGCAGAAAACAATAGCACAAAAACTGACTCCACGTATATATTTACAACCACTGTTTAGTCCTGTATTTTATGCTGAAGTTAATTAGAACAATTTCTGTGCAGCCAAGCACAAAGCAATCCACAGCAGCAGTAATTGTTATTCATTAACAATGTCTGCATACCCTCCCATGCTTAATAGATCTTAAAGCATACTCTAATCAATGGGTGTGAAATGCAAGACTGTAGCTAGCATATTATGTGCTTCAGAAAACTCAGGCACAAACACAGAATCAAAACACTTTATTCCAAACACAGAAGTTGCCTCTCTCATCTTTCTTTCAACTAACAAACATAGGTACCAAAATGCTTGCATTTTCAAAACAGTCAAGGCACGATTTTCAGGTTAAGTGACTTGCATAAAACTTTAAAAGCAATATAGCACACACAGTCACATATCATGTCAAAAAACTAGTATAATTGTCCCATCCAGAGATCCATGTGTCCTCAGATGTGTCTATTAGAGTCCCTGCATCCCTGCAATATGTCAGGGATGCAGGGATCCTTTATTTACATCCATTGAAACAAATGGGGCAGCCATTCTGGACAGGAGAGGTTCCTGCATACACTGGATCACCCCAGTTTCAAACAGGTATAGTCATATTTTCAGCGTGTTTTGTTTTTCTTCCTTTGCTGACAGAAACCATGGACTGATGGATGGAAGGAGAAATAAAAGAACAGAAGCTATCAAACAAGCAAATGGAGTACCTGGGGGGCCTTAAAGTCAGAAGGCAGGGGTGAAGTCGATTCCCTGGATCTTGACAGCAGTGAACATGGTGAACGGACCCTGGTAGGAGATCTAGGTTGCATTAATGGGGTCCTAGGTCTTGAAGATTGGGGGCAAGCTCTGTAGCTTGCATGAATGGAGGAGGAATTAATCTGTATTGAACGGGGGCTAACACTATAGTCTGAAGAAGTAGGTGAGGTAGAACCTTTATGAGAAAAAGGCCAATACCATAAAGGAACTGGTGAATGACCATTTAGATCCTTAGCAGAGACTTGTGGCATATATGCTTTTGATTTACAAGTAGACTGCAAAAAGTGTGGAGAGAGGGGGGAGTATTTTTCTGAAGTGGGTGAAAACATGTCCCGTTGGTTGCTAGTAGGGGTAGATACTGGATAAGACTTGGCGGTGAAAGTGGGAGAGTAAGTATGAACCTTCTTAGACTTCTCAGGGCCTCGATATCTGTGAGCAGGAGAACATGCCCTCTTTGAAGTAATTTGAGAAGTGTTTCTTGGGACATGAGGCGGTAAAGAAGAATTCAGCATCATTGGATGCAATAGTGGAGAGACAACTGCTTTTCGGTAGGTGGAAATGGTGGGTGACAAAGGATGTAATTTGTCAGGAGAAGATTTTCCAGCATCAAGATAACTTTTAGGGGACACAGATCTGGCTCTAGGACTGGACTTTGAGGACAAGGCCATGTGATTGGGTACATTTGGAAACACTGAAAGGTGATATTCATCTTGGCCTGGCGAATCAGACCTCACAGAATAATCTGAAGGCACTTTCTTGGGAGTTGGAGGCATTGTTTTAAACTTTTGGTCTATTGTGAGGGTCGAAGAGCCTAGGGAATTGGGAGAAAATGTGGCAGGACAAGATACAGGAGAAAAGGATCTCTTTGGAGAAGATCCTGACTTTAAAACAGCAGTCAAAAGAGAGAGCCTTGTTGGTAGAGGGGATCTAATTCCAGACTTTCCCTTGGAAGGTATTTGGCTGCAGGGATCGTTTACACTACATATGGTTGAGGAGGAACCATGACAGGGGGGAGAAAGACACTTCGGACTAGGTGATAACAGGTGTGTCGTGATGTAGAACGGAACTGAAGCCAATGTATTAAACCTCTTGGGAGGAGGAGGAGACAGGGTGTGAGGGGATGAGCTTTGAAGAGTCTCTGAGGAACTGGAAATCTGTGAAGAGGGAGGCAGATCCTTGCTTGGTAGAGGGGACTTGGTGGATTCAGACATTTTGTGAAGATTGCTAGCTTGGATGTTACGGGGTGACTGAACACTGTCTGAAAGGCTGTTAAATGAGAAAGTGGGTCTTTTCAGTATGGAAAAAGGGACACTGTAAGAAGCAGTAGACTGTAAGTAGGTAGAGGACTGATGTGTGGTGGATCCATTTGCAGACTGCCACTGGCTTTGGGATTCTTGTACAGAAGAGCCTTGGTGAAGAGTAAGAGCCAGATCAGGTTCAACTTTTAGGTTAGTTGGAGAAAGTGAATGGGTAACAGGTGATTTATGGGAAAGATGACCAGACGTAGACAGAGGAGAAGTTAACTGGAGGGAAACAAAGAAAAAGAAAGGTTAAAGTAGAGTAGAATCTGTGATACTCTTAGAAGTGTACCCCTGGTTTCCAAATTCATGACATTTGTTAGTAATAGCTTACTTTAATCACATAACTTGTATCTTAATTATCTAGCGTGGCATTTTGCTAAGTGACCATCATTTTATACCGAAAAATCCATGAGCATAAATTATTTGTTGACTTCTATTATTTTTATTTATATTAAAAAAGATATTTAGGATTTTTGATGTTTACTGATAATTTGTTTTCTGCAAAAAAATATAAAGCATTATTGAATGTTATTAACAGTTGCATGACATTAAAAATAATCAAATGTTTATCTTTTTCAAAATGCAAACTCAAGTATGGATTACACTAGCAAACACTTTACGGTGATGCCCCTGAGGCCCTCACTCTCTGGGAACACCCGTTTTGGGCAAGGCTTGGTTGCCCTTCTTCTGTACATGTGTACACCACACTGTGGGCCTCGGATAGATAGGAGACTGAATTAAACTGATATCAAGAGGCAGTGAGTCATGCTAAGGCAGAATAAAGGACAGTTTCACTAGCAATCATACAAATATCCACCCTAGGAGGGATTCGATCAAGGGCCTTTCCCCCAAGAACCTTGAAGCCCCTTGCGACGAACCCCCTTATTTTAGGGCATGAGGGGTTTGGTTCCTTTAACCTTTCTCAGTCTGGAGCAGGTTTATTTTCCACTGACACTGTCTGCCAGCCTCTGTCAACCCAGGAACCCACACAGTTCGTCCTTTTGTCAAAATCAAGCCACTTATTGTCTCTGGGGCTTTTTATGAACACTGCCTTTTTATAAGAAGAAAGTTTACTGTTTAACTTTGTCAGATATTGTCAGACACTGGGTGCGTTCAGATGGGGTGCTGAGAGCGGTTTAAACTGGTCCGGTTCTGATGCAATTATTTTTACTCTGGACAATCACAATCACATGGGAGCGTGTGTCGGGGTTTTTTTCCCCTTCTCAGTTTGCACATGCGCATAACTGTTCATCCGTGGAATTGAAAAACTTTATCCTCACACATACGCAGACCCACTAGGGAAAATCACGGATTTCACTTGACAGTTCCACAGAGCACCGTGATTTCACCGCTTTGACAGAAGACTTCCCTTTAAACCTTTCACCCAAAACTGGCCTCTTTGGGATCCCAAACTCAAAAGTAGTAACTGTTTAAATGTTGGTTTTAAAAACGCGGTAGTGGAGCGTCACTTATACGCATACCACAAACACAAAAAGAAATGGCAGCCGAAAAGCGGAAGTTTCTGAGCGGGGAGGGGGTTTAAATCATTGGAAGTGGCTTGACACTGGAGGAGCGATCACACAGGGGAAACTGCGGCTTTAAACAGGAGAGTTGAGAAAACACGACTTTGGGACCTGGTAACAAAATACTCCGGGTTAAAGGGGTTTTGAGCCAGAAACCAACGACTGGGAAAAGGAGGCAGATGTTGACTGTGTGATCGTGCATATAAAATCCGTTGCTGAACTGTCACTACCAGTGTTCCCTCTAAGCTGAGTTAGTGTGAGCTAGCTCACAGTTTTTTAGCCTCCAGCTCACACATTTTTGTCTTAGCTCAGAAAGGACGGCTTCAGAGCTAACTAATTTATGCAGTAGCCAAATTGCTTGCTCACAACTTTAATGCCAGTAGCTCACAAAGTAGAATTTTTGCTCACGAGACTCCACAGTATAGAGGGAGCATTGTTCACGACACCAGATCAAACACGACACCAGATCAAACTGAGGCCCATGCAACTTGGAACAGTACAACCAACTGATTTATTTACAAAGTCAGCCAGGAAATATATTTACAAGGGAAAACTTTGATGCTTGCGGATACGTAGTTGCAGATGGCATATTTTAGCTTTAGGTTAGTTCCTTTATAATCAGTCACTTCAGATGACACAGTACAAATTACTCTCTCCAAACTCAACCCTTATGCTGTTTTAGACAGCCAGTTTTTGTGTGGGTTTCTTAGGTACTCTCAACCTTCACCGAGAAATTCCTCTGCTGTGCCTTAGCTTGATCCTTAGACGTCCACTAGTCCAACAAACACTCTGGCCACACACTAAACCCCTAAATCAGGCTCTTTCTCCAGCAGGGTATAATTTATAAGGGAGAGGAATGTGTATTTCTTATTTAACCACTAGGAGCTTATTTTCCTGGTTAAGACTCCTTAGTTTTCACTATGGTTTTCATGTTTGGCTTTTCTCGGTTTCCCTTAATATTGGAAACTATATAGCTATTTCATTTGTTCCAACAAGATGTGTCAGTCCCCTGGCTCAGTACCAACTGACTACAAACCAACTGACAGTCTCAACTGTCAAACTCCAACTGTCAAGAGTTGGTTTGTTTGTTTGTTTTTTAATTTAGAACTCCCCCTTGAGTTCTGCATCAGGCTTACCTCACCACTGCTAGTCATGTGACTTGAAGGTGTCTTTGCTTGCAGGCTGATCTCAAGCCTGGAATCCGTCACACCCCTTTTCCCAGATCATTTGATCCTAACTATCCAGATCTCCAAACCAATATGCAATGGGCCAATTCCAGCAATTGCCTCCATATCTCAATGACCAAACAGGAAGATTACTACCCTTCCCAATCATGACAAGTACCTGGACATATCTAACGTCCAGATTTCCCCAAGGGAACATTCTTCATGCCAAAGGAGAACTCCCTACTACCATATAGACAAAGGATTTCTTTTTAAGTTCTCTCATCTTCGAAAGATTGCATTTTTATTATCCCTACCTTCCAGTGCCAACACTCTTTCCCCTATTCATCCCAGGCACAAGGCTATGAAGAGTTACCCCTCAGTCCCAACTTTTGTAGCCATTTTGGAACACATCCTCTTACCCCAGTCTCTCAGTTGGCCTCTTGCTTTTCCACTTCATGGACCTGTTTCTGCATCATCTTCCCCTGCCTGGTCAGTCTGATCCCCTGACACTGCTTCATCACCACTGAGGACAACCACCCCCCCTTCTCTCAAGAAGCAGGCTTGCACATCTTGTTTCCTCCACTTTTAGTTTTATTCTCCAAGTAGGTAGACAGGTTTTAATGTTGTATATATCACTATGCATTTTCCTTTCTGTAACTTTATTATTTTGCTCTACTGTATTGCTTAGATCAATTTGGCTTTTAAATAAAACTCCTTCTGTTTTTCTAAGTGTTGATCTGACCTTTGTATACACAGAGTAGATCCCAAGTATTGAAGTACCCAAAATACATGTTCCATTCTAGCAAGGGGATGCATTTGCACATTATGGCCCTGACATGTAGACTTATTTGGGTAACAATGGCACACCTAATTTGCAATGTATGCAAATTGTCCTGATAACTGGAATTTAGAGAAGGTTGTAGCTCAGTGGTAGGCCAGACTATGAACCTGTCCCTTCAGGGGGAGTACAACCCTCTCCAAGACAGACTGACTTCTCAGTTCTCAAGCAGCTTTGTCAGTGACCAGCAACGTCTCTATTCAGTCTCCATCCAGTCTCCATCCAGTCTGGATGGAGCTTCAGTTTATTGGCCCTCATAATCTCAGTACCATTTCTAGGTACCAGTTCAGGTCTTTCACAGACCCACCTGACACAGCTGTTAAGGAGAAATAGAGCTGGGCGTCATCTGCATATTGGTAGCACTTTACTCCAAATCCCCTCATCTCTCTCAGAATTTCATGTACATGTTAAACAGCACAGGGACAAGATGGAACCCTACAGGACACTATAGCACAAATACCATGGTGCTTAGCAGCACTTCCTTTTGGAATAACCCAGTCAAGCAAAGGCAAAATCACTGAAGCAGAGGACCACCTGTTAAGTATGCGGGCCGCCACCAGGGATCCACAGCTACAGTAAGGATCTTGGCTCCTCTAGACAATAGAAACCTAGGATCCTACTTCCCCCAGCATTCACCAATAGCCACTTTGGTGGGAAATTCAAACCCTCCAACAGGACTGGGTGTCTGCTGGGTGGGTGTGTATATAGTTGGCTTTGCAGGGCCATTTGTTAGTTCCAGTGTGAAGTACAATAAACGTGTGCAAATGCATGTCGTTGTCCGAGTTCTCCATGCGGTGAACCCAGTACTTTTCACCACCCACTCCCAACTCAACCAGCCTCTGCAGAAGGATATCATGATCAATGTTACTGAAAGTCTCCAAGAGAACCAGGAGAATCAACAAGAATGCACTCCCTCTGTCATTCTGCCAGGAAAGGGTGGCCAAGGCTATTTCCATCCCATACTGTAATGTATTGAAATGATTACATGAATCACCTCATAGGACTCCCATGTTAAGCTTCAAGCCAGACCAGGGCTCCTCTGAGCGAACTTCCTATTGGTCGCTTCGTAACAGCGACCAATCAGAACGATACCATTCCCTAGGAGGGAAAGACTCCCATTGGTCTTTATTCTAGCAATCTCATTGGTTGTTATTTGTAAATAGGCGTGGCTACATTAGCCCGGTTATGTTTAAAAGGAGCATAAGCTCCCACTGTTTTCTGTTCTGGTTTCTTACTGAGTTAGTGCTTGTTCGTTACTTCCAATAAAGCTGAATCACTTGCTGAATCACTGTACGAGTCCTTTGTTAGCGCGATCTAACAATTGGCGACGAAGGTGGGATGTTAGAGCAGGTAGGCAGCCCTGCGGACATCCACACTTCGGACTCGGAAGAAAGCGGGCAGAGCACAGCAGCCGATCCGGCGGAGGCGCCACCAGCTCCGGTGCCCAAGTCTCCCCCGATGGCTGGAAGCCAGAAGTTCGAGTGCTTCGAACCCTCCTCAGAAGACTGGGACTCCTACCTGTCCAGGTTCGAGTTCCATCTGGAGACCCACGACATCACCGATGAGGCGAAGAAACGAGCATGCCTCCTGAGTTCCTGCGGGAAGGGGACCTTCGACATAGCCAGGTCGTTGGTGGCCCCAACTGATATAAAGACTGTCACCTACGCTGACATCACGGAGAAGCTTAAGGCTCAC